TTTTTTTTGGTAATTTTGTGTCTTTTCTATTTTTTTTTTCTCTCTTTCTTTTTTTTTCTTTGAACAACTTTCTCTCAAGTTCTTCGTCGAGTTCTCTTCGTTTTTCTTACTTTTCTTCTTCTTCTTTTTTTTTTTTTCTTTTTATTTATCAATAACATTATAATAGGCAGTGTTCGTTTGAGAAACTGCTACAAGAACACGCACACACGCATACCCATGCACGTACGCACGCACACACAAAGACATGAATCTTCAATAGAAATTGAATGTCTAGAATAATAGCACGGCTTTTACACGTAGCTTGAAACACGTTTGACGCGACATCGTTTTCCTTTTCCTTCCTTCATATTCTTTTTTTTTTCTTTTTTCTCTGTCATTTTTTTTTTTTGGTTTTTCTTTCTTTATTCCCTTTTTCGAGCTCAAGAAAAGATCACTGGACGCATGCTGTACGCCGTTACCACCCGGAACGGATTGCGCGTTCTTATTTGTTTGACGATTAACGTTTAGCAGAAGAGAGAATGCGTCGTACTAAAAAAATATATGTATATATGTATATATATGATACATATACGTATGTATATATGCTTATTATTTTGTTTCGCGTGGAACATCCAACCGCGAAAAATTTCAGGCTCGCCATCGATACGTACGATCGCGTCCGCCCGTATTGAAGCGAAACGTGTCGCTCGTTAGATTAAAAAAAAATGCCCGCTCTATCGCGCGCGTCGTCATCGTTCTCTACGTCATTAGCGTCCTCGTCTTTGTCTTCACGTTCTTTTTCTATTTTCTTTTTTTTTTTTTTTTTTGTTGTTTTTTTCTTTACTTTCCGTACGTTCTTTCTTTGCTGTAGTCTTCTTTCTCGAGAAAAATCGGTGCTTACAACTGCGATCGGAAACGAAACCCGAGAATTTTGCTCGTAATCCTTCGCTGAACAGTTACTTACGCTCGTGATGAAACGACGGCGATTATTAGCAAAGCACGTACTATCAAAAATCAATAGAGTCCCAGTAGAAACGATATCACTGTACACCGTCGTACAGAGTCGAACAGCAGTGATAGAAACAGTTTTATAGTGAGCGATAGTAGCAGCGACACATTAGTAACAATTGCAACAGCAGCTGATGTGTGTGGTTTTGTGTATGTATATACTCATGTATGTGTGTGTATGTATTAGGTGACGTACTGTTCTTTTGTACTCGTTTGCGTGTGTTGCGAGTCGAATTGGTATGTATATCTGTCGGAGGATTCGCGATTTCATTCACGATGAGGCTTGTTCTCACTGTTGACGACCAGGCGACCAGAGTCTCGGTCTGGCAACCGGAAGAGAGAAGGTCCCACGATCGCCGTGAATCGGCGACCATCAAAATTAAAGGTCCACCGGTAGCGTGGTACATCGGACGATTTGCATCGTTTTTATGCGAAATCACAGAATGACGCAGCATCTGCAGTATCGCTGTCGTGATGCTCCCGCACTTGGCGGCGGTGTCACTGGCGCGAAGTACGCGTGGACTTTGATGTTGGGCAAATGTGTCTGAAACAAAATCACCGGATGGTCTTTTAAATAAAAAAAAAAAAAAAAAAAGAAAAAAGAAAAAACAGAAAGCGAACGGAATGATTTTGAAGTTTTGAAACGCCATTTTGTCAACTTCATTAATAAGAGTCGCTTTCCTTATTAAAATGTCCCGTGATCTTTCCCCCCCTTTTCAAAATCCGTTTTAACAATGCATTTTTTTTTTTTATCGAGTGTTTCGCATTTCATTTTCATGAAATCGCATATTTTGCGCAATCGTGCGAAATGCTGTTAAACGACATGAAATTTAATACAACTAAGGCCTAATTAATTGGCGTGTGAGTGCTATAATAAATACAATGATGTGCCAATGCCTTTTGTAGACATTGTCATAAAGTTTCCTGCGTTTTTTTTCTTTTTTATCTCTCGGGTCTTAAGTTATACTGCACAGAAATGACGACTGTTACGAAACGACGACTAAATAATTCAGATTGAACGAAGGCAACGTGAAAATACGATGATACATCAATCTTCTTGGGATGTTTTGAAACAGCAGATAAGACATTTTAACCAAGGAAAGAGATTTCATCTGTTTAAGGATTTAACATGCGACTCGACTTGCAAGCGATATGGAACCGAATAGCGTTTAATCCATTTGCAACATTACGACAGACTCGTATCACCGTATTCTATATCATTGATCATAATTCATCAAACGAATCACAATTTATCCCGATTGAAATATTTACTAGTCTCCGTTAATATTAACTGATTGTAACGAAATGTCAGAGTGTATAATTGATAATGCATATTAATTACGAATAATTATAAATGTAAAATACTTGGTTGCTGTTCGCAAAGTAGATAGTATTCACAAAGGAGTCCACTTCGTGATGCAAATGGGTCAAAACTCTCCACGTACAAGCGAAACGCTATTTCCGATAGTGCGTTAATTATTTAATTAGAATTGGCGATAAGCACTGAGAGTAGAAAATTGTCCTATGCAGGAAAAGGTAGGAAAGGAAAACGAAATTACTCTGAGTCTACGTATGCCAGCTCTGGTGATCAGTTGACAATCGTAAAGCTCGATGCGCTCGAGATTGTGACACGCCTGTAGAAGATGATCGAGGCTAGCATCTGTGATAAGGGGGCAATTGTCCAATTCCAGCACTGCCAGATGTTCCGCTGCGCACGGCGAGAGAGCCAACTGTCGGATGCCTTCGTCGGTGATCAGTTCACAGTGAGACAAACTCTGCGTGAAGAAAGTCACCGATTTCGAGAAGTTAGTTAGTTTCCTCGCTTCGAGAGATATCTCCCGTGTTTATAACGCGTACAGTCTCAAATTCACGGCTGCATTCTCGCCAGAGGCAACTATTTGCTCCTCGTTGTTGCACACTTCGAACAATATACCCGATAGAACGTTTGGACTCTGTTTCGGTTTTCAAAGCGATATTTCGTTCTTAGCGACAAGTTCTTTTCTTTCATCTCTGCTACTTCGAACGGAAACGGATAACAAGAGGAAACGCGAAGGAACGTCGAACAACGACATTTTCAAGAAACACGAAAGTTGCCGTTAGAAAGTTGCTATTTCAACGAGGCGCAGCTCGAGGTTATTTAAATTCACTTACCAGTTTCTCCAATCTTGGACAGCCCATGGCCAGGTGAATGAGCGTGGCATCTGTTATTAAAAGGCACTCCTCCAGATCCATCTTCTCTAGCAGTCTGCAGTTCTGAAACGCGAGAAAGAAACCCGTTGTCTAGACACTGGTGGCCTGTTTCGAAGCACGGCAAGCACGTATCAGTCACGATGATCAACTCACTTTCGCGAGAGCCTGAAAGCCCGCGTCGGTGAAATGAGTGCAAGCCACGCATTCGAGCACGCTAAGGAGCGGACAGTGTTGCGCCAACGTGACCAGAGACGCGTCTGTTAGATTAGGGCAATTCGACAGGCAAACATAATGCAACCGTGGACATTGTTCGCTGAGTTCTCTCACCGCGTCGTCCGTTATCTTCTGTAACGAATCCATTTTCATGAACCACGCTTTCAAACGGAGGAGTTGGATTTCTTTAAAAAAAAAAAACAGGTTCAGCGTCGGAAATGAGAGAGTAGAAAAATCTTTCGACAAGTATTCCGGACAAGAAGCAGTTTCTAGAATTCATCGTGGCGAGCGCGGCGCGTATCGTATTGATATTCATTACGACGCTCAACTTGTAATCATCGCGCTCGTATTGCCTTGCTCTTGCTAATTCGATCGTAATTCCTGAAAAGAATCGCATGATTCGCGTGACTTATCTAACTATGGTATACGACGGGCCTATATTCTAACAAACATGATGTTGAAGCAATTAAATAATATTTTCCAACGAAGATTTTATCAATTCCATTGGTAGTTTTGACCACTTGCGCCGGCAACTGATTGCGAACCATAACGAGTGACCAAACCATATACAATAAATTCGTCGCTTCCTTTTCGAACTCGACGGCACGATATCACTGGATAGAAATTATTGCGAATTAATAAATTTATTATTTGTTTTGCCTGGGTTATACTTGAATATACTTGAAACTAAGAAAATGTTGCAATTTTGGGACAAAAAATACTCGACGTGCGTGGCACGTCATTCCAGCGCAAGAGGTTAATTATTATGAAAATGTTGCAATAAACATGATAACGTGTAAATATTATTCGCGGCCTGCAGATTCTTCGCTCATCCATTAAAATGACGGTGCGCCAGACGTCAGAATACGCATCAACCGTAACCGTAGTAGCCTTAGAAACGATCTGAGAAACTATTCAGGTAATCGAAGAAAGAACAAGCAAGCACCCTTCCTGGCAAATACGAGCGCTAAAAGATGGAAGTCACGTTAATTGCGTTTGCATGTACCCTGCATTCGTGCAAATTGATCGCCTCCAAATTGGGGCAGTAACGGGCCAGACATTTGACAGCCCTGTCTGTTAACTGACGGCAGCCTCTGCACAGAAAGCTACGGAGTTCCGGGCAACCTCTCGCCAACGCTTCGACACCGTTGTCGGTAAGTAACTCACACCAGGACAGGTTAATGTGAGTGAGAAGCGGACAGCCATCGGAGAGGTCCTTGAGGGAAATGTCCGTTATCTCGGGACACGAGTCCAAGTTCAGTCGTTGGAGTTTCGAACAGTATCTGCTTAGGGCCGCGCAGGTAGCATCCGAGATCTTTTTGCACTGGCTGAGGTTCAGCTCCTCGATGTTGGCACACGACTCGGCCAACGTACGCATCGAATTGTCTCCGATGCTCTGGCACCCTCTGAGCGACAGCTTCCTCAGGAAACCTCCGCATCGTTTCGATATATTTCTTATGACCTGTTCCTGCGTTTCCAACACATTTTCCGGTTAGAGGAACACAACAAACGAACGACATTTCTCTTTTGACGATGAAAAACGCGTTGCTCGCCAGCATTACAGGCTTTCGTCGCGAGTCGCAACGAGTTTGCAACATTATTGGGACCCGAGTCTCGGCGTTTCGAGATGCTCGTGATAAACGCGAGCTCGATATTCGTTCGAAATTATTAAGGGAAAGAGAAACAGCGAGGTACTTGCCCGGGTGGCAAGCAACGCGTCAAAGGTTCGATTTACCTCCACGTCTCGTTGGAAATCGAAGAGATCGATCCTCTGCCAATTGGATCCGTCGAGCGCCAACACGTTCCAGGCTTTGCTTACTTGCGCGCACCGGCACAGCGATACCACGTCCAGATACGAAAAAATTCTGCCAATAGTACGGCAAAATTACGTTACACACCGTTTTTCCCGCCCTGATTATTATTCTTTCGGGGAGGGGGGAAAAAAACTTGCACCATAAAAAAAAAGGAAAAAAATAATCGCAGCAGCAGCAACAATAACAACAACAACATCAACAACAACAACGATAGTAACAATAACGACAACAGTAAAAAAAAAAAATTTTTAAAAATAAGAGAAGAAGAAAAGCGTGTCAAGCTAGATGGTAGGGTCTAAATCAGGTCTAACTTAAGTCTGTAACGTGTTACGATACCTAAGCAGCAATTCTTTTGGCAGTTTCTTATTAATCTGCGCCTCGTCGTCATGAAACACCCATGTTAGCTGCAATCAAAAAAAAGAAAAAAAACGGAATCGGAGTGAATTCAGTTCCGGGCAATTGTCACTTGGTTTGGTCCGAGATCGGACGAGATGTAATATACATAGTACATGGTACACATCGGATCGAGTCCGCGGCAACGCGGACACGACGAGCTTCACGTTCGAGAAGGACAGTGACAGCGTTTAGCTGATGATAACGCGCGAAACGAGAACAAAGTGGCATGCGTGAGAGTACAAGTTGACCAACCTGCATGTAAGACTGCTTCATGGTCGTGACAGGGTTGTTGTGAGTGTGCGATTGCGACGTATAATAACCGGCCTGATGATGATAATGGTGATGATGTTGGTGATGATGATGATGATGATGATACGATGGATGCTGTTGCCTCCACCATTGACCGCTTGCACCGGAATCCTCAACCGCTTGTACCCCTTGCCCGACTTGGCCCCCTCCTCCCACGCCTACGCGACTTACTTTTTTCTAAAAAAATCGATCACCATCGATTATCATCGATCATCGAACTCCTGTGCGTGCACTTCCTGCTTAAGCAGACCAATTAAAATCAACGGCCATAAACCACGCAGGTTAAACCCTCGCTGTTTCACTATCTTTCTTTCACGGGTACACCTTTTCTTTTTCTCCTTCTTCTTTTTAACGTTTCTGATCTCTCGTTTTGATAGGAATACAAAGAATTACACGCACGAAACGAATGAACAACGTGATAACTGATGGTTCGTTGATTTTCTTATTTTTGATACCGATTCGAAATTGAAAAAGGGAACAACCTCCTAGGTTTCAAAACTCGCAGAGATTTGTAAGAAAAAAAAAAAAAAAATAAATAAATAAAAAATAAAAAAAAAATAAAATCGGAGGCGTAGCTAATTTTATGATACGATCAATTTGATGTACTTAGCAAGAATCAGAGATCGATCGACAGTGGATTTGATATTTCGAAATTTCTCCGAGATGATAAAAGACGAAAGTTCCCTATACCCTTTCGATGCTCCACGCGCGTCCCGGAATTTTTTGAAAGGTTCTCTCCCCTCTAAGTAAATTTTCAAGATTGATACCATCAATGCAGATTAATTCTTATCAACGGAGCGTTCCTATCAACACTCGTCGAAGTTAAGGAGAAATCAGAGCGGTGCATTGAACCGTCGGTCGATCGATTTTTCAGGCATGAGCTAAAGCATAAATAGCATAAATAGTTAATTGCACACGGGCGTATGTTAAAAACGACATCCTTTTCTAAGCCGGCAATCCGTCGTTCGCGATGACGGAACGCTCGCGGGATCAATACGCGATCTGTCTATCGATCCTCCTATAAATAATGTAGTTCGTAGTTTCGAATCTTTCAACGCGAACAAAAAAAAAAAAAAATAAAAAAATAAATGAGAATCAGTTAAATAGGAATTGTTCCGATTGTAGAACGTCGCTCCTGGCGTGCTAATAACTTTGTTCAACGTTTCATAAGTAATACGGGGAAATAAGACGAAAAGAAAATCGATCTCAACAGGCAATGCAACAGTTTTCCAATACAGTTTTCTATATCCACGGGGTCCGTAGGTCTACAACGTTTAATTCTATTTATTGCATATCGCGCTTGTTTGTGTCTGTATTACTTTTATACTTGTATTATAATCTGTAGTACTATGGAATCACATTACAGGACTAATTTAAAGTAAGTAAATTCTTGGTATTTTACACTTCGCAACTAAACCATTTGAAAAACAGAATTCTACAACGAGCTCAGGGAGTTGATGAATTTTTAATGAATCGACGCTGGGATTTTTGGGGAATTTCGAACTTTTCCATTGTGTAATGATAGAAACGATCGGCGAGGGATGAGCCGCGAGATAGATTGCGTTTGAAATTTTTGCCTGCGTTAGTTTCGTGCCAGTTTTCTATACATAAACGGCATGCAACAACGAGGACTCTTTAAAGTTCGCTCACCTACCATGTCACCTGCATGTGACCTTCGATAACCTTGCGATGTAGGTCATTGAACTCGTCCTAGCATCTAACATTTTAATTTTTCGACAAGGCTTTTTCTTTTACTGCTAATATCTATTAAAATTGACATTCGTCTTACGCTTGCCTTGCGTTACTCGAGTAAATCATTGGAAAATTGGAAGGAGACATCCTCTTTTTTCATCAACACTTTAAGGCACAAGTTTCTATAGTAAAGAAAATGTTACACAAATGATAAAATACACAAAAAAAAGTAAGGATTTCTATTGGTATGATTCTATCACGTATGATAGAAAATGATCGAAAATTACTAAAAGAAGAAAGTAAATTAATAAACTAAACAGATACTGTAGAAAGTAAATTAATAAACTAAACTAAACAGATTACGACATAACATAAATCTCTGTATTTCCAGATTTGAATCTTTCTAAACCAAACTATATAAAAATCAAGATTAGATATTTAGAGACATTTACCGCAGACGTATGCTTGAAAAAAAAAAAATTAGTATAGCACGATACTTTCTCGAGCAACTTTAATTATTATCAGCTTGACGATTTTTAGATAACGATTCATCCTTAAAATGCGTAACGTTGCAAATTAATTTTAAATTAATTTAAACGTCGTTCAAGGGTTAAAGGATACAGCGAATGATTTCATTTCTCAGACTGATTCTTTCAGTAAGAACGTTCGAAACTTCAAGACGATCGCATCGAGATCGATCCGTCGTTCGATCGGCATTTCCAACGTGATGTCACTTGCGAATACAGCTGTCCGACGAATCCCTCCTCTGAAATCATTTCCTCGTTGCGCAAGCCGATACCGAACATCGTATCGATTTATCGCGCTGTTTACACGCACGATCGCGTTGTTCTTCTCTCTCTCGACGCGAAACGAGACGACGCAACGTTCTTCAACGCGCCACCGATATATTTCTTTCAGTTTTTTTTTCGGAGAAAGTCTAGGCCAGAACGTGATCGGTTTTTTCAATGATTTCTCGCGCGAAATCGGCGCGATTCACGCCGATCGTTGCACGCTAAAACGCGATTTAACGACGGCGCCGAGACACCGAGCACGTTTATTATCTGAGAGCGAACCGCTCCATTTGATCCCGAAGAGGAAGCAGCCGGCGAATCCCCTAAATCTACCAAGTTCAAATTATCGTAACATCCACGGCGATCTAATTTTACTTATGGATTACGTATGCTTGTGCAATTCTACGTGTTAAATAAAGAAAAATGGAGCCAATGATGCGAAATTTGTTTTATCAGCTAGAATGTTATAATAAGTTTTGTCATATATATATATATTGGAACTTTGAATTTCTCAGAAATATATAAATATCCCGTCTACGAACTACGTGGCTCACGAAAGTATTTGAACACTTGACGCAATGAATTTTCATGTGCGACATAAAGCATTTCGAAGACATGATTGTATTGGTGCATATAAATGACGTTTAACGCAAATTATATATTTAATATTATTTTTTTCACATAAGTAGAACACTCTATCGCTGATCGTTTCAATCTAGCCGAAATTAAACGAAATCAAATATTCAACGTTTCGAGTCTATCGAAAATAAAATTTTCGATGCGAATTTGTTATTCTTGTTAGTCGTCTCATTCTGATTCACAGGATTGTTTCTGGCTTCAATTGCACCGCAGATTTTTAGAATCGCGACATATTGTCGATAAGATAAAAATCGTTCAATATTACAGTATTACAGTTATAGAAGATATTACTCAGAATCTCTTTCAGAGCCTGGTAACGTATTTCCATATTATCGAAATTGATCAGATTGGTGGGCTGATTCTAAATTGTAATTACCGCCCAGGTACGACGATTCCCCTCAATTTTTTGGTAAAGTTTTCGCTCGAAAATATTCAAGGGGGTGAAACACGATTCGTTTCACAGGACATGAACCGTGAAACGAATCGTTAGAGACGGAAATCTGAACAGCCGAAATCGCGAGACCAACGTCATAGATATCTTTGATCCGGAAAGCGCGCCGTTTCTGTTTACACACGTTGAGCCACGTTAGCTAGCCAGATAGACCACGGTCAGCCAGTTTCCCTCCAAATCCTGCAAGGTTGCAACGTGCTCTTGCAACAATCGGGAATAGCACCGCATGGCGATACCACGTTCCTATCCGCGATATACGTACGATGACAAAAGGGAGCGACGAAGACGATGCAGATGGATACCCAGATTCGTTGATCCGTGGCACTTCGACGCGGAACAAGGATTCGTGCGCGTAAAAGCACCCACACAAATGAAATCTTGCACAGACGGAGGGATAGAGGGGGTTAGAGAAAGAGAGAGAGAGAGAGAGAGAGAAAGAGATAGCTGAAAGGTAGAGTGGGGGAGGTAGGGAATGACAAAGACGCGAAGAGGGAAAAAGAAACAGTTTCGAAAAAAAGGGTCGATTTTTCATGATAACTGTTCGATTGTTTAATCGGCGAGAAGAACAACGCTTATTGACATTCTAATAGCGTGTAACGATCGTCGAATGAGTATAACCTGAACAAGGAAAAAAAAATAAAGAGAGAGAGAGAGAAAATAATACAAAAATAATAAAATAAGACAAAAGAGAAACGCAGTATGAGAGAAATAGGTATAGTTAGATAAGTTAAACTGAGAGAAAGAGGGGGAGAATGAGAGAGAGATAGATAGATAGATAGAGAGAGAGAGAGAGAGAGAGAGAGAAAGCGAGGTACGAACCTCGTTGACAACGACGATATTTTTTTAGTTTACATATCGACATATCCATCGAAGATGGATGGAAGTAACCCATGTCAACTGATAGAATAACATGCTTTAAGACCGAAGCCGCCGACGACAACGACAACGACAACGATGACGATGACGATGACGACGACGACGACGACGACAGCGACGGTGACGACGACGATGGAATAAACGAGAAAAACAATGCGCGAAGTGTGGGAACAAAACATTGTTCGAATGTGCTGTTGTCGTTTCAAGGCACGAGCTTGTGATGATGGCGATGACGACGATGACGACGATGACGACGATGACGAGGGAGACAACGAGCCTGACAAAGACGCGAACAAAGACGAAGAAATCGAAAGGGAACCGAGCCGAGGTACAGAAAGAAAGAACAAAGGATGGAGTTGGCTAGTTGTTGGTTGGTCGATCAGAGAAACAGAGACGGTAAACGAGAAGGTGGGAAAAAGACGCAGGGACAGGGAGAAAGATGGAAAAAGAGAGAAAGAGAGAAAGAAACAGCGCGAGGTGATAGAGGCAGGGAGAAGGAAAGAGAACGGAGATGGGAGATATACGCGAAATGGTAGCGATGAAAAAGTAGGAATTCGTTTAATGTTCGCGGCACGATGCATCGTCGAAACCGTGTTGTTCACCGTTGATTTTGGTTGTTCGTCGTCACGGCAAGAAACCGTGGCACCGAACGAGAAAACGTTGCCAAGCATTACGGAGGCCAGGGGAGCGGATCAGCTGTTCGCCTCGACAATGACAACATTGGACACACGCACGACCCCCCCGTATAGTGACTTTGACGCGCGTTTCACAGCCAGCCCTTTTCCTGTCAGACGATCCGTTGACTTACCTCGAGCCTGGTGCGCCCGGAGTGTATCATCCTTTTGCGTCGCGTTATTTTGCAAAGCTTACGGGAATACCCGCACCGTTTTACAGAAAAAAAATGTCGCGGCCGAGCGAGCAACTACGCTTCGCGAGAGAAATGGCCGAGTCTACTGAATATGAGCCGTGCCGCCGTCGCTGGAGGGGGTAAAGGACGACCGATGCATTTTCCCATGGATCCAGATCCATCGCACCTGATTCGCTCTTCTAACCCGACTTGGCGACAACGCAGCCAATCTCAACCCTTCCAACCATTGTTTACACGCTTCTCATTGGATCGTTATTTTTGAGGGAGCGCGACGAAGACGTACATCGCCGATGTAACGATGCCAGAGACACTCGCGCTGCATTCGTAAGACACGTGTTCTATGCAACTGCACGATCGACTGTTGTTACCTTTCGAATATCGTTTTTATCAACCATCGATAACACCTTACGGGGTTGCGAGTTCAGGGATCTGAAGTATCGACATAGTAAAAAAAGAAAGAATCACTGGTTTTTTAGCGCACTCTACGTTTAAAGAATGGCGAATTAGGGAATCACATATAGTGAAACGATCGAGGTTGCTCAAGTAGTGAATGCGCCATCAATATGATTTTTTTAAAACCATTACAGTATTGTCAAACTTTCAATACCGAAATGTAACGCTAGTAACTAACCGAAATCATCTTACTACATACATATATGTCAGAAAGAGCTCTATGCATGTTTTACGGATTTATCACTACTTTTAAATGGCACACAAGTGCAATTCTTGATATCGTGGTTATACTTAGATCTATGTTTTTAGGAAAGATTTAGCACAAGATGATGGTCAAGGTAGAGTTATAAATGATATAATTATATCGATATAATGATATGATTATATTGGGAAACAGTTGGATATGTTTCCCTTGAACTTTTTCCACCTCGATCATCGAGCTACCCGAAATCGTCGGGCACCCGAAACCATCAGGCTACCCGATCGAGCTCGCTCGACTTTGTGAAAGCCCGACCTGAACAATCGGGTATCTGAAATTTCAGGTACCCGCACACCCTTACACTAGACTCGTCAGCGAGGATAATGGCGGCGATACCTACCCCAAACGCTCGGTTTGTTAGGAAATCTCTAGCATGAGCACGGATGGTCACCCATCATAGAGGTGTTACCCACGCTGCACGCTTAACCTGTAGATCGCAAAAAATCTACGAGGTTACAACTAGGCTAAGCGACATCCACTTGCAGCTTGTAGTGTTCGTATCTTGAAAATTTGTATATTAAGTAAAGACTGGAGGTGCTGGCTTACATCACTTGCAAATTTTCGAAAATTTTTCAAAATAAAGTATGTTTACACCAAAAAAATGTAAATAAACATTGGAAACCAAAACAAACAGACCAATGTTTGCAAACAAAGCAAAATTTCAAAGTTTCCGAAACTCCGACCTCAAATTTTCGAAAATTTTTGAAAACAGTGTGTTTGCATCAAAAAATTGTAAATAAACATTGGAAACCAAAATAAACAATCAAAAAAATGTAAATGAACATTGAAAACCAAAATAAACACACCAATGAGAAATTTCAAAGTTTTGATATATACATAAATATATATTACAATTGCTGTAGTTTATTAAGTGATTTATTATGCAATGAAATCATCTACAGCACGTGTGGATAGTTCATACTGGGTAAGTATGGGTAAGTATTCATATGTTAACTTAGTTTTAAGTAAATTATTATGAAATCATTTCTAACACATGTGGATAATTCAAGGATCATAGGTAAGTATAGGTAAGTACTTTTGCGGAAATTCCGAAAAATTTTGAAATTTGGCTTTGTTTGCAAACATTGGTCTGTTTATTTTGGTTTCCAGTGTTTATTTACATTTTTTGATTGTTTATTTTAGTTTTCAATGTTTATTTACATTTTTTTGATGTAAATACACTTTATTTTGAAAAATTTTCGAAAATTTGGAATCGGAGTTCCGAAAATTTTGAAATTTCGCTTTGTTTGCAAACATTGGCCTGTTTATTTTGGTTCCCAGTGTTTATTTTCGTTTTTTTGATTATTTATTTTGGTTTCCAATGTTTATTTACATTTTTTTGACGTAAACACACTTTATTTTGAAAAATTTTCGAAATTTTGAAATCGGAGTTTCGAAAACTTTGAAATTTCGATTTGTTTGCAAACATTGGAATGTTTATTTTGGTTCCCAGTATTTATTTACGTTTTTTTGACTGTTTATTTTGGTTCCAACGTTTATTTACATTTTTTTGATGTAAACACACTTTGTTTTCAAAAATTTTCGAAAATTTGAAATCGGAGTTTCGGAAACTTTAAAATTTCGCTCTGTTTGCAAACATTGGACTGTTTATTTTGGTTCCCAGTGTTTATTTACGTTTTTTTGACTGTTTATTTTGGTTTCCAATGTTTATTTACATTTTTTTGATGTAAACATACTTTGTTTTGAAAAATTTTCGAAAATTTGAAATCGGAGTTTCGGAAGCTTTGAAATTTCGCTCTATTTGCAAACACTGGTCTGTTTATTTTGGTTTCCAAAGTTCATTTACATTTTTTGATTGTTTATTTTGGTTTCCAATGTTTATTTACATTTTTTTGATGTAAACACACTTTGTTTTGAAAAATTTTCGAAAATTTAAAATCGGAGTTTCGGAAACTTTGAAATTTCGCTCTATTTGCAAACA